CGTCACCAATAGACACCCTTGGGAAACAGGCATATACTAGAGTGATTTTCTTTGTTCTGGTTAGTTGTATCCTGGGGCAACTCGGTTTGCTTGTATCCTGTGTACATGCAAATAAATCCTGCACATGAAGTGAATCAGTCAATTCTCATCTTCATCTGTGGGTCTGTGTCACCATTCTGGGTACCTACAGTGGGAGTTTGTGGTCTCTCACTATAGTTAGATAGTTAAAAGTTTATGTCAGATAGACATTAATTGATGTGCATTGGGACGGAAAAATTAAACCACAACAAAAGACATTCAGGGCTCCGAGCAGAACATTGTGCACTGAAGTCGAGCTGTGATCTGTATACAAAACTTCCATGTCAGACAGTCTCTAAATAGATATACAGCCAGGCATGAATCACCATCTGATTTGACTTCTTTTTGAGCAAGACGTCCAGGTAATGAGGTCACTTCAATCTTTCCCAAGATGACAAAGTTATACTGTGTCTCACAGCTGAAAACTGAGAATAAAATCACTTAAAAAAAGGAAATTGGCCTCCACATTTCCGTTATCTATAACTTTGTATTTTAGTGAGTGCTTACTACTACCCACTCACTTCTGTGGTTTGAAACTCAATCATGAATTGTATTGTATTTCAAAACCTCAAGAGTGAGGGGGGTACTGCACATTATGTTAAAAAAAAGCAGGTGATTTGATACACCTCCCTTTAGAACCTGACTTAATACCCTAAGGGACATCAAATGGGGCTGGTGTATATTTATTAAAATGTATTTTGAAGCAAAGAGACACAGATAAACCCTTTGTGGATTAAGGAGATGGCTCCTATGGTATGAGAAAAACATAATATAAATATAATAAAATAACTAAAATATATTAAAGGAACTGTAGCATCCCTCACTTAATTTCCTTAAAATGGGAGGTAAATGGATTTATTGTATTAGAAAAGATCTATAAAGGTCACTTATTAGCCTTCTCTGGAGCTTTCAACCATACCACGCAGTCTTCATCAGTGGATGGACTTTGTTCTGTTGTGATGGTATGGCAAGTGGGCATTTATTGCTTAACTTTTCAGTGGATGAGAAATCTTCAAAGTAAAATGGACAGCTCACACTTCAGCAAACCATTTCCATGACAACTGAGGAAATAAAATCACCTGATGAAGACATTAAACTCGTTCGAGATTTGGAGGCTGCTGGAAACTGTTGGACTGGACTGCAGCCTGATCTAAGTGGACCTGGTAAGAGAAACTTTGCATTTAATAATTTCCCCTATCCTTTCCCTTTGTCACTTTTTTGTCTGGAGATGATGAGTTATTATTTTTGTCTGTACATTTTGTATTTTTACAGAGCCCCTCAAGTCCCCAAAAGGAAATATTTTTTATTTGTGGCAACAATTATTATTTAATAGTTTACAGGATATGTTTGCTGTGTTTCTCTATGTTTGGGAAATTGCTGTGTTTGTTTATTTAGCAGGTCAATTTGCTATGTTATGGTGGGTGAGCTGGTATAAGATAGTTGAGAAAGCTTTCTGTTATTATTCGCCTGTTCTTACTGAAGTGTCCATGCCCCTCTAAACATTAGAGGTGAAAATAAATTTATAAGTGAGTTCTCTCCATCTATATGACAGCTGTGTGCTTGGAAGCCGGTTGAGATGCATGGATTATGGTAACTTTTGTGCCACAAGATAAATAATTGTTGAAGATAGTAAAGTCACGTCAACGTCAACTTTATTGTCAAGTATGTAATGCAGACATACAGCATAGAGAATGTTCAGTCTCTCGGACCCACGGTGCACAGACAGGCAATAATATTTTCTATATAGAAGAACTAATTATATAATAGAAAAGACATAAAATAAACAATCAACAATACATAAAATACACAACAATCAAGAATTAAGGCACTCTGGTATATAAGATATAAGATTATTATATTGTTATATTAATATATTATTAGATATAAGAGATAAGATAAATAACTTGTGCGCACACAATAAAAAATACTTCCTTTTGGAGACTTTAGGGGCTCCGTATATATATATTTTTTAACATGTTATATATAAAATAACATAAATATAAAATATAAATACATTTCTTCTCCACCTCATCAATCTCAGCTGCAGTAGGAATTCCGCAGCAGCAGGGGGAAGCAGCGCAACAGCAAACGCCGCAACCCGCCCTGCAAAATATAAAGAGGAAGAAGCTTTAACATCAACAGAACAGTTACACCATTTGCAGAGGTACCGTACACGTCTATGTTTGAATTACAGCCTCGCGTCCTCATTCACGTTGACTTCGAATAGCAATTATACATCACGAATTGACCACGCATGTGATTCCGCCTTTACGACACGACACGACACGTACAAACAAAATGATAGCCGCTAGCTTCAGCGGTGTAGCTAAGGCTAGCTGCAAACGAGCTAAACTGTAATTAGTCTGTGTGTGTGTGTGTGTCTGTGTGTGTGTGGGAGGGTGTGTAGCCCTGTAGAATAGGCTTTTTGTTTTATGTGGCTTTACATTGTGTCCATAAGCTCGATAGCTCGCTGTTGACCTCGTCTGTTCGCTCTCCTGCGCCTTATGTTGCCTCATCTCTCCGCAGATTGTTTTTCTATCTGACCCAGATATAATCCAGCCGTGCAGCAGCAACAAAGCTGAGAAAATGGACACAAGAGCCTGGAGGAATCCGTATCACGACTACGATGGGAGCCCTGCGTTCACACAGGCGTTGTTTGACTCTCACGGAAAGGTAATGCACGGCGGACGTATAGTGTGTGTGTGTGTGTTTGCAATGACCTTCGTGATATATTTTTGTTTTATTATTTATTTCTGTGCACTTTCAGCTCACGTCGGAGTTTGCCCAGCGGCTGAGCAGCAAGATCAGCGAGCTGTTAGCTGTCATGGAGAACGGGCTGAAGTCTGCTGACCCGAGGGATTGCACCAGTTACACTGGCTGGGCAGGTGATGGCACCAGTACACGTGTGATATAAATCCCATCGTGGGGTCTGACTGTACCTCGGGGAGTGAAAGGGGCCACGTAATGAGAGTGATGCTCACTGCAGGCGCTTGTTTGCCTTTGTATGTAAAGGTTTGGGGCCTTTTTTTGGGCTTGAGTTTGATGATAATCGTTGTTAGATGCTGAAACCAGAGAATTGCCCCTTTTTTTTCATACAGAATGGTTTAAAATAAGATAAAAATATACATATATACATATATATAATATAAAAAATACAAAATAACTACATTTCCTCGACTTACTGTTTGGTTTCTGCTCCAAATTCAAATTATTTCGGTGCTCAATGATTAGATTAGACATCTCTGTTGGTTACCAAACGCGCAGCCTTACTTTAGTTAGTTAAATCAGAAAAACACAGCTACAATAACGTGTATTTGTCTTTCTGTCCACAGGCATTGCTCTGCTCTACCTGCATCTCCACAACGTGTTCAAGGACCCCTCCTTACTGCAGAAGGCACTAGACTATGTCAACCACAGTCTGAAGTGTTTGACCCGACGTCATGATGTCACCTTCCTATGTGGGGATGCGGGACCTCTGGCTATAGCTGCTGTGGTCTACCATCGCCTGCAGAGGGTGCAAGAGACCGATGAGTGCATCAACAGGTCAGTCTAGGGCAGTATATCTCAACCCTGCTCCTAGGGACGATTCGGCAGGTCGTTTTCTTCCGCACAAAATTTAATATATTTGTTTTACTACTCAATTCTCAGTGCCTCCCGTTTATTTCTAATGTGACGACTTCACATTGTAGAGCTCTTAAACTTCCAACTTGACACAGCATATTTAAACGTTATACTAAAGAATTGCAGGTCTGACACTGTGCGATAATGAAGGATACGTGGAAATCACTTTAGTTTTTCACTAAAGGGAAATTGATTTTAATTGATAAATACTAATAGACTACCAGCAGTGTAACGCAGGCTTTGCCAGGTTAAAATAAAGCCTCCTTCTTGACATTAGAAACTACGGCTTTAGGCTTTATACCCCACTAACCAATTAATCTCGCTCCGTAGTACAACCCTCAGATGTGTTGCTTGTTTTTGGAGATATTTGCTCAGATAAAAGCCATTTCTTATGCTCTCTGAAGTATGTAATTTCATGCTTTTTCCTTTTATCTTTTGCTTGTTGTGTTCCTTATTACATGCCTGCGATCCGGATCAATTTTTGTGTCATTTTCATGGATGATGATATGTAGACTCTCTGTACATAATATAGAGTTTATGTAGTTGGCAAAGGTTTTATTTTATCGGATGTTGCAGTTGACTAAATATAAATCTATAGAACTGCACAATTTTAACCAATATTATTTGGCTTTTATAGTATATTGTGATCATGATGTTATATCAAATATATGTAATGCAACATACATTTTTGTATCTGCAGCTGGAGAACAAAAGGTCCTGTTTTCCAGTGTACAAAATGCTTGAGATGGGTCAGACTGTTAATCTGTGACCCCGTGATTGGATGAACCAGAGCATCACTCCAATCACAAGGATGAATATCACTCCAGATCCACTTTCATTAACTGCCAAACGCAGAATTGTGACCACATTTGCTACACAATTAATTGTACGTGGTTATAGGTCATCGCAAATAGTTCATTGGTCATGATAAAAGATCCTGTCTGTTTCCGCTGCTACTCTCCCAGACTGCTGCAGTTTCACCAGAATGTGGTGAAAGGTGCAGGCGGGCTGCCTGATGAGCTGCTCTATGGTCGGATGGGCTACCTCTACTCCCTCGTCTTCGTCAACCAGCAGCTCGGGCAAGACAGGATCCCGCTGCAGTACATCCAGCAGGTGAGTTAGAGTCAGGGCACAGTCTGACAAAAATTCTGATCTGATGTGCTGCAGACTTTTTTTTTTTTTTTTTATCAAGGACAGGCTGGTCATCCATGACTTCTTAGACAGTACTCTCTTTGACGGTACATACAACTATAGTAACCGTAGGTGAAGAAGGAGCCTAATTGGATAAATGCGTTGGCAATAACTAAAGTAAAAAAGGAGAAATTGATATGGAAAAATCAATTAAATAAATATATAAATAATAATAATATAAGGAGAGTTTATGGTCCTAAACCCGCTTCTCTAACTTGTAGTTCACTGCCCCAAGCAAACTTGATTTGCGCTAATTTGTTCACTCTTGCACATATTGATGTCCAATTTCTCTAATTTATTTCCATTGATTTCTTTCAATTCTACAGATTAGGTGTGTTTGTGAGCCGGGATGTGTTGTTTCCTTCCTCAGATCAGTGAGGCCGTGCTCGTCTCAGGCGAGCACCTGAGCAGAAAGTTCAGGGTTCAGAACCACAGCCCTCTGATGTACGAGTGGTACCAGGAGCAGTACGTTGGTGCCGCCCACGGCTTGGCTGGCATCTTCTACTACCTCATGCAGGTAAGATGGCTCTCTCGACTGCTATTCTTTAGGACATTGCTTACTTTATGTATTTATTTTTTATTACTACATGACCAGATAAATCATGTAAGGAGCTTAATATCTCCCAAATGTGTTAAGCATTAAAACAGAAATAGCCCATTATGCCAAAGATGTTTATGCACTTGCACTTAACAAATGAACCGTCCGAAAACAGTTGGGTATATTATTTACTGGATGAGCGCGTACCCTGCATCATTGTGATAATGTCTAAGGCTGCAACTAACAATAATTGTATTATTTTCCTAAGGAATTTGTTAATTGTTTAACCTATAAAACGTCAGTAATACCCTAAAATCCCAGTCACAGGTTTCCAGAGCTCAAGGTGAAATTTTAAAATGGCTTTTTTTTTTTTGTCCAACCAAAGCTCCAGAAGGTAAATATATTGAATTTAAAATAATAGAAAACAAAAAAAGAAGCAAACCTTTTGAGAAGCCAGAACCAGCGTTAATATTGCACTTTTTACACGATAAAGCACCTTAAACAATTCAGCGATTCCTGAAATAGTTCTTGATACACTGATTAAATCACTATTGTCTAAAGAAGTAATTATTTCAGCACTAAAGTCAGTCCAGTGCGATAACATGCCTCCTATTTATTACTTTTTTATCCAACCAGCTTCTGTTAGATTAATTTCAGGCACAATCAGTGCGTTGAAAAGAAAACTGTACCAAAGTTGCTGCCTGTTGCTTCCACCTGTTACTCCTGTGCCTCTGTGGTCTGATATCCCCCTCGCAGCCAGGCTTCGTCGCTGTGGAGGAGTACGTGCACAGGCTGGTGAAGCCCAGCGTCGACAACGTCTGCCGTCTCAAGTTCCCCTCAGGAAACTACCCTCCTTGCATCGGGGACGACAGAGACCTGCTGGTGCACTGGTGCCACGGAGCTCCAGGGGTGATCTACATGCTCCTGCAGGCGTACAGGGTAAACACTGAGGGAGCGAATGATTACTGGAGCGTTGTTTTGAAAACTCGTATCAGTTACGAAAGGTCATTCATGGAGTCCAGTCTTTTAGAGAATGAAAAGAGTTAATTTACAGGGTCACAGTGCCATCTTGTGGTAAAGTTTAGTCACTGTTTTTATTTAAGTTGATGTAGTGTTGATATTCCTCCGCAGCTTTCTATTCTTTCTGTTTCCTCTTTCAAAATAATGGTGTGAAAAAACTATTTTGTTTGACCGGCAACAAATGTTGTGGTTCTTCTGTCAGGCTATTAAGAAAGAATTAAACTACTGAGAGAAAAGAATTGCTTTATTTCGCAAAATGAGGGTGCCATCTATTACTTAAAACATTGTTTACAGTACAGTATATTGTCTTATATTTCCCAGCTTATCTTGTTACCTGTGGATTCTCCTTATACAGTAGCACCAGTTTAGTTTAGTCCAACGTATACCTTAAGATACGCAAAAACATTTTAATTTCACCCTTTTTCCTCTTCTGCTTTGTCCCATGTCCCAGGCCTTCGGAGTACCTCAGTACCTGGTTGATGCCCTGCAGTGTGGAGAGGTGGTGTGGCACTGTGGCTTGCTGAAGAAGGGCTACGGGCTGTGTCACGGCGCGGCGGGTAATGCCTACGCCTTTCTGGCCCTCTACCGGCAAACGCAGGACCCCAAGCACCTTTACAGAGCTTGCATGGTGAGAGCACATGAAAGAAATGTTCGAACCTAATCGGTGTAGATCATTGACACGGTGCAGCCGGCATTTGAGTGATCAAACAACTGCAAATATTAATTGTGCATCCCTCTTAATTAGTGTCCAAATACTTGATTAATGCCTCAGCAGTTTGACGGTGAGGAATTATGATTGGGAGTTGTTTTCTTATGTGGTTTAGGTTGAAATTAAGAATGTTTAACACTTTATTTGCCAATGAAAGTTCGTTTGTTTAACATACAGAAGGCATGTCACTTTTGTTGCCACTTATAGTTTTAGTAGTATTCCAGGGAATATCAGCATTTACTCCCTAAAAGAATAGATGGCTCTTAATAAAAAGCAAAATAAGTTAAGAAAATATTGTTTAATCAAAATTAAGGTATTTAATATTAACCTGCTAATGCCATAACTAATAGAAGAGGTCATTTTATATTTATTTTCTCTGGCTTTGTTTGCGAAGGTCATATTAAAGTTAAGTCAAAGAAAAGGTAACTTCTCACAGTCGGCAACTCGCCAGCCTTAAAATCCAAAATTATTCCTGAAAAGGCGGGGCCATGTGAGAGGCAGGGCCTTTTATGTTTGTTGACAATAGGTTGGTAGCTGTCGGTGCGAGTCGCCATCAAAGCAAGCCCAAGCGGGGCTGGTAGTGAGCTCTCTTTTGGATCCGCTCCAGGTGGCACGAGTCCCACGTGTACTATCATTAATATGAATCTATTCATAGAGGATGGAAATGGAGCCTTCAGATGTCTTGCCTAAGCTCTGCTATATGCTCCCAGTGCTACAGAGTGACATTGTGGTCATAATCCGATACCTCAACAGTTGCTAGGATTTCCCCGAGCGGAGCACAATTTTTAGCAGTTGTGGACATTGCTCGCTATTCTCCTGGGATGGTTCAGCTACAGTCCAGTGTTGTGATAGAATGGGAATGTTATTATGACACTGCCTCTCTCTGTCTCCCTTCGTCACTCCAGTTTGCAGACTGGTGCATGAACTACGGCAAACATGGATGCCGAACACCAGACACTCCCTTCTCCCTTTTTGAAGGTAATATGTGATGACAATGTGTGTCCTGCTTGCTAAAAACGTCCTGTTGTTATAATGCTTGGTTTGTTACAGATATCATCAAAACCCTGAAAGAGCTAGTTATCAGCTACGCCATACAGGACCTAACTGCCACCCCTGTGTTAATGAATATACAACATGTTGAACTTATTCACATACATATTGGGCAGATTAAAAAAGATTTATAAAAAAGATACATATGTATACTCTGTACCTAATTAAGAGGTTAATGGGATTAGTAGTAAGTGTGCTAACTGAAAATTGAACAGGCATTGCAGTTGGAAACAAAACTGCTGAGGGATACATACACAACTACATTTAATATGTTAACGAAAAGCCCAAAATATATTTCTTTAGAGGTGGAAACACAAAATCTGCTGTGGAAACTGTCAAGACATGTGGCTAGACATGACAAAATCATAGTTTTTGATTTATTATATGCCTTAAATGGTAGACAAAGTTAATTTTCTTTCTTTAAAAAAATGACATTCATTTGACATGTTAAATATCAGATTTACACTGGATCAAATAGTCAACTTGTAGTTTTTGAGATACAGACTTTTCTGTATCATTCTGTTTTTAGTCATTTGTCACCAGGGGCTACTCATTTTATCCTATAAAAATACATTAAATTACTCTGTATGTATGTAGGGCTACTGTAGCTGTAACCTCACCATGTCACTTCCTGTTTGTAGGCATGGCCGGCACCATCTACTTCTTGGCCGACCTTCTGCAGCCAATGAAAGCAAGGTTCCCAGCTTTTGAGGTGTAAAAGTGTCTCCACAGGTAGTCCTCCCCCACCCACACTGTGGGAAAATATAACCAGAAGAAGACCCACACTTCTGCTCTCTGTCACGCTCATGCATGAAAACACTTCATTTCATCTTCATAAATTAAATTCTGGGACTGACTTTGACTCCCACTTCACACGTTGTGCCATGTTTTTCCTGCTCTTTCTCTTCTGGGAACTTGACATGTTATTAACAGGATGAATCCTATGCTCACATCTCAACTACATAATTATCTCAAAGATGTGTCAAAAGTGGGAACATCTCTGGCTTTTTGTGTATAAATGAAACTCTTTGCTTTATTAATTCCAGCTGTTGCTCAGATTGTGTCGTCGTATAAGGGTTTAAGCAAAAAAAAAAAGAAGGAAACAAATTTTCATTTTTAGTCAAAACAAAATTAAATTGTGGGAAAATTAAATGGGGTTTTGTTAGGACTTATCTGTATATTGTCGGTTTGATATGTTAAAAAAAAGAAAGAAATGGATGCTTTAGTTTGCTATTCTGTTAACAGCAAAGCTAGTTACACTGCACTAAATATAAAACAGTACAAGCTGTGTCATGTGTTTAGGGATTAACCCCAAAGTGTAAACTGTTGCCTGTCCTTTGCACTGTCTGAGCAATAAATCATGTGACTTTTTTCAGCTGTTGCTCTGTAGTGAATTTTACCTCCTGCTCTTGTTTTGGTGTAACTCTGCCGCAGCAAAGAAAGGCCGCAAGGGGGCAGCAATTAGTTGTGTGAATGAATATCTGACAGTTGACCTCCAGTTGGGAAATGAAGTATGTTTGTTGGCACCAAGAGACATTTACCTTGAGTCACTTCACAAATAGGTTATTTGAATTAAACATTTTATGCTGATCGGGTTGAATTTTCCATTCTCAGTGGAGCTGTATGAGGGCATACGAGATGGTCTGTGTCCAATGTCCATGGTGTGATCTGCTTCTTTATGTCGGGGAATTTTCTTTGTAAACTCTGGGATAACACAGAAATGCAGGAGGCGTACAAATTTGACAGAGAGATGTCAAAATACTAGAAGTTCAATAATACTTAGCCTTAAAAAATCCTTAAAACACAAATTTTAAGGCATTTAGTTCACAAATGAAGCCATATTCCAGTGACAAATGTCTAAATCCTCTGTCCCTTCCTCCATGGGCCTCTTGGCTTAACTGGTCTGGTCTCTATTCCAAATAAGGCTTATGTAACACCACTGAAAACTAATAGGCGACACAATGCCACCGCTCTTTTTTAAGCCCCTTGCCAACGCTTCTTTATGACCTGACGCCAGCTGGGGTCTCGGAGGGTTAGTGGGATTGGATGGGGAGGTGGTTACTGTACCGGGGGAGTCTTGAGGAGCAGGAGCGTTCATTTTTCTCCACCCCCATCGTCAAAGAACCCGGACCAGCCAGCGTAGGAGAAACCGAACACCTCGGGCAGGAATGGGAGTAAAAATAGAGCTCATCTGTCCAGGGGGAGTGGTCTCCCGGACATGTCTTTCACTCTAGTTTACTCACTCTCACAAATGTCCTCCAGCTCTTTCCCTTCTGCTCTATAGCCGTGGGACATGACTGGTTAGTTAGTCTGGCAGCGAGTATTTACAAGGCCAGAAAAAGATGTAAACATTTGAATTTGCACATATTGGCTGATGATTTTCAAGCAGCCCAAGGTATTTGGTCCATAAAAGACACTGTACTATGAATAAAGTACAGTCAGGAAATTACTTGCGAAGACACATTTCCAACACCACAGAGTCAATTCAATTATAGAATTTCAATGATGTAGGTGAAATCCTCATGTTTGTTAAATAATCTCAAATGTTTATCTGAAATCTATCTGAATGTCCATGGGCAAAAATGCAGGGCAAGTCATTAACTACTGTTCTTTGTTAAAGTGAATAATGGTCTGATTGTGTCTATTCATTTTAGAGATATTTTGTAATATCTATTTTTAATTAGCTTAAAAGAGCCAAAAATGTATGTGCTGAATAGGCAGTGGCCTCAGAGGCTTGTGTGGGAACTGCAGAGCTCAATAATTGGGATGCAGACTGCATCTCATACAGAGTACTTTAACCTTCAATGCAGTGAAAATTCATGAGTCAGCATGTGAATCTATGCACGCATTAAAAGATAAGCATACTTTTATGGGAGAGGTTTTACAGCTTTAAAGAACAAATATGACAACAAAGGTGAGCATAAATTGAACCTAATGAAAAAAGGCTCAGTGTTAGTGACTCAGTATAACATGAGAGTGATGATCATGTTACTATGAATGAGTTTGAGTTTCTCCAGTTAATTGGACCTTGAGTTGGGATTGTTTTGTGAAAAATGTTTTTTTCCACATGCAAGAATTAACTTTCTCTTACATTAAATAGTTCCACGGTACTTTCAATAACACCAGGCGGGGACCATCAAAACACTGGAACTGCATTCAAGATGAAATCCATCTGAAATGTACTCTTGTGAATTTGTTGTTAGTTTTGTTTTATGCATCTACTGCATAAATAATAGATGGATTTTGATGTTGCTATCAGCACCATGGAGAGCTCTGGTGGAGATGGGAAGGTTAGTGAAGCAGCTCAGTGCTCAGGTCATTTAACCTCCATAGATGAGGCAATTAAGTTTTTACTTCTGGGTTATTTAACCAATCGTAATCATTTATAACCTCAATTCCACTCCAATGTAATTGTTTTCATTCAGTTGCATATAGAGTACATTACAAGACATTTTGATCAATTAAGGATAAGTCAACAAAGCTGCACGTTATATTGCTCAATTCAACAACAACAAAACATTAACTTTATAATTTCTTTATTGCTTAAATGATAATCTGGGGCATTTTTTAAGAACAGGTCTATTAAAATGTGATGTCCATAAAGCTTATACATTAGTATTATGAAACCTATATAGTTCAGTTCTTAAATAAATGGCCACACAAAGTTGGCTTTTTTAATATCTGCCTGAAGAGAATCGACAGTTTTTGCCCTGCTGTTATTTAACCATAAGAGGAGGAGCAGTCTCACTGTTTAAAAATACCACCCTGTAAATGAGCTCTCTGGGCTTTGAGCCCTTCTGAATTGGGCCACTAGATAGCTGAGTTTTCTGCAATTACATTCACAGTTCAACTGCATCTCTCCCTAAAGAGAATACCTTCGATATCAAGTCAATGATAGAATTTATTCTTTATAGAAATTAGTTTAAATACAGTTTTAAATCTTGAGACAGAAGAAGCAGAGTCTTGACACAGTTATTTCTACTTCTAAAAATATCCATGTCCCCTTCTAAAGGCCTACTCCCACTGCTCTCCCTTCCGTGTGCCCTAAGAAAGTTAAAGATGTTCCAACGTGTCATCTGATCTGCCCTATTAGCATATGTGACATCACATGCCTGGGATAAATAAGAGGGGGCTTTGACCATGGCTCAGGACCACTCTGTCTTGGGACTCGAGCTTCTCTTCTCCTTTCTTTCCTCCAGCTCCAACTCTCCAAAATGGTGTGTACAAAATTGTGTTTTGGACGTTTTGGGTGGGGCAGTACCGATGGAGTTACTTCTTTTTTTTTTGTGGAATGGGTTTGGATCTCATCTCACCAAGATAATCCCAAAATTGGGACTTTATTGGCATCACTGAAATCGGGCTAGGGAAGAGAAAGCCTTTTTGATACTTTTCTAAAAAGCTTGTCTTTATTAATTGCGAAAAAAGGTTTGGTTGAGTGGCCCAGGACCACCGCCTTGAAATACATCCACATTTCTATGATTAATGTTTGTGTAGGCTTATGTCTAAATGCAAGGAACCTATATTTTCACCATATTTCTTTAGTGCAGTTTTGGATAGTTTACTATACATTCTTGTAAGAAAATCTTACATAATCCTGGTTTCTATACTCATAAACCATTTGTTTCTCTGTGTTCCGTGTGTTTATGTATTCGTAAATGTACCTTTTTGTTTGGTGTATGTGTGTGGTTTTTTTCGTGTATTTCTATGTGACAGACCGAGTTCACAGCAGACCAGATTGAGGGTAAGTGAAGAAAATCTCAATCAAAAATCAGTCCTCATCCCTTATAAATATCTTAGCATGTGAACAATGAGAATCCCGCTCCTTTCATCATCATGCAGAGTGACATTTACTTGCACCTTTACCAGCAGGAGAGCATGCCCTCCAAATTTTCTTCCACAAGCTTAGTCTGTCATTTTTTTAGCGAGGGATTTTGTCAGCAATTGTCACTATAAAGAATCTCTCAGAGTAGCTACGGGCCTGCCTACTTTAGTCCAAATAAATGAAGCCAAAAGATGGAAGTAGGGATGAGGAAACTTCCAGACTGAAGACCACCATTGGACGTGCCATTCCAATGACTTGTCCAGTTGTCGAGGAGGATTTGAGATATGTCTATTCTAAGCCAACCTAGCCTTGTCTTGCAACCCACAGTGGGCAGAGGTGTTAATCTCCAGGCCAAGGTTTAAGATGCAGGTCTGGCGGCATCCTCTTACACAAGGAATCCAAACTGTGATTCCAAAGCCCCATCCCCAGCCCTTTTGTTCAGTGCTGAAAGACGTGTCCTGAATAGATGGTGTTTTTTTGTATAGATTTTTTTCTTGTGTTCTAGTATTATATGTTCAACTCAGAGTGAAAGATATATTCCCAAATTGGGCATCTTAGAATTGCAGTGCAAAGCGCAAAAGTGCTTCTGATCAAGTTAATTTGTTTATATGGACTTTGAATTTGGCCAGCTTTGCACCCAAAAAAGAAAATAGTGGTGCTTCTGCACATTCTGGTGCATTGATACCAATGGAATACGTGCAAGGTGTTGGTTACGTCGCAGTCAGCATTCTTGTATAACTTGAGCAGCGACATGGGGCCATGCCTCTATATGGCCTGCGTTACTTTGTCGGGGTGTATCAGTTTGCTCCCGATGTCGCCCTAAATTCCTCCCAAATGCAAGTGGAGACAGGAATGTAGAGGGGTTAGAAGAGGGGGCTGCTACGGCTGCTGCTCGGGAGCCACGCGAGAACATTAATCTATCAAAAAGGTCACTTTGAGTTGGCCTCCTGGTAGGATTCATAGAAGCTAACCTTTGGTAAGGCCCCAGTCGGTACCTTCCCCGTATCTGCTTGGGTACAGCTGTCGCTCCCCATTAGCTGAGAACAATGACTGAAGTATGTGGCTTCTACTGTCTTTGATCCTCCAGCACATAGCTGCCATAGCTGACCAAGATCCCTGTAATAGAATAGAATTTAAAACCCAAAGGGGGCCTAAAAGAACATTGCTAGCATTGATGTCAACCAGACATTTTGATGGCAACATAAATCATGTGTTTTTTGTTCTTTTGACCGACTTGTGTCAGTACTTTGTGACTCAAAGTTCTCTCTTAACTCTCCCCACCTCTCCGACCAGACTTCAAGGAGGCTTTTGGTCTCTTTGACAGAGTTGGTGATAGCCAGGTGGCCTTCAACCAGGTGGCTGACATCATGCGTGCTCTGGGCCAGAACCCCACCAACAAGGATGTTGCAAAGATTCTGGGCAACCCCACTCCCGATGGTAAGACCCCTGTTGCATGCGCGCAAAATGCACAACTGCAGTTTAGGCTCTAAGATGAAAGCATGTGTAACAACAGTGCCATCACGTGTGACTTTTTTCTACAGACATGGCCAACA